GGGAGAAGGGAAGCGCTGCACTGCGCTGCGCGGCGCTGCGCCGCCGGAGTTCTCTCTCCCCTGCCTGGGACACTGACTCGCGCAGGGCCCGGCCCGGTCTGCGCCACCATGTAGCCTGATAGACAAACGGACGCACCAATCAGAAGCTGCCTTCCTACGTCCCCAGCCAATGAGCGAGCGGTGCCTGGGGAAGAGAGGGCTGCTGCCGGGCGCGCCCCTCGAGCGGGTCTCTCCTCACCTGAGCCCCGGTTGCGGCGCCCCCCGCCCGCCGGTCACACGCAGGCGCCTCCTTTCCCGCCCGCCGGGGTTTCTGTCACCCCCTGGGCCCTCCCTTCCTCGGCTCCCTCAGGCGAGGAGTTGTAGCCGCTGGGCAGCGTCGTCTGCTGGGGAGAACCGAGGGGGAGCAAGATCTGGGGGAAGCCGCTTGCGAACAGAAAGGGACGACACGCACCCCTACCGCGTGAAGCTCTCTTAACGCACTGGGTCGAGCTACGGGCTCTCGCTCTTCCTGAGAAGTCATCTAGCAACGAAGAGGTTCACGTATGCTTCTAAGGCTGTCGTAAAACGACACAAAATTACTTGTAGCTTGATGTTTTAAAAAAGTGAAAGGTTGGCTTTCTGGTGGTTCATTTGCAAAAGCTGAATTAGCTTGTAGTCTGCAATTAACTTACTGCCAAAGAAATAGAAGCATTAAAAGGGTTAGAAATGCCTTTCTTCTACCGCCCTCCCCTTTAGAAAGACAGAGCAGACGGTCCATCTCATTTTTACAACTATACAAGCAAAAGGAGAGATACCTTGAGGAGGAAAAAAAGGATGCTATTCTTCCCCAAAACAAAAAAAAGCCCCACCCTTGAAACACCTTAAAAAGTCATTGTAATACAAAGCAATATGCAGCCCTGAGGTCCACATTATTATCACTATGTTTTCCTAACACTATAAATAAGTACTGTAATTACCAGTTCATATAATTAACTCTAGTGTGACTGCAGATGAGGCTAAACACGAGTATGAAAACACTTTTGACTCATCAATTTTTAATCTAGTGTCATAAGCACTGGATAACCTTTAAAGCCTTACAAATGTGTTGGAAGTACTACAGAAAATACTTCTCTCGTGCAATTGTTTTGTAGTTGCTTATTTATTTTTGGTATTGGTTCTAATAATTTGTACCTGTGTTCTTACATCCCCTTTTTCCTTTTTTTCATAGCTCCAGAACTAATATTCCTAAATGAGACTCTCTTTGGGCCTGGTCCTGTGAACTTAGGTAAGAAAACTCATTCTCAGCAGTAAGTACTATTCTGTACAAGATGCTTGCAAGACTGAGACCGTAGTCTTCTGTAACAGCAAATTAAATAAAGGTTGTTGGAGGGTACTTGCTTTTCATGGAAATCAATGTGTTTACCTATGTTGTTCTATGAGACTTTCACTTGTATTTAACCCTTAATTAAATCAAAGATTTCATTTTTTATTTACAAGCAATTCTCTAAGGGGTAACATATCCCATGTAAGAGAAGAGATATCAATGTATTTTCTCTAGGACCATAGTTTTTTAACACCCTTTTTTACTGAAACTTTCATTACAGTTCAATGTTACATACATTTCTAAGTCTGTGCTGCACTCTACTTGAGGGGAGTTCGTATGAACATACTCAAATTGGCTTTAACTAAGGTGTCTTGGGCAACAGAAGCAAAGATGGAGCCGCGTAACAGGCTAGCTAGCCAGTACCTAGAATCCCTAGATACAGAGTTTGTGTTAAAGCCTATTATTTGTAAATCCATCTACCTAGGCTGGTGAATCTAGGAGGCAAACATGACTAGAAACTGAAGCCCCACTGCCAAATGTTGTTTGTATACCACTTACATACCTTTTCCAAAATTACAACTACTGTTTTGGTTGCATGCAAGTTCTCATTTGTGGCAATTAGCTAGAGCCTTTGTAAGCACAGAAGATACTTAAAATAATCTTTCTCTTCTTCCCTGTAAGAATATGTACAAAATAACCTCCATGTTTTTTCAGTTCCAGTATTATGTCCCACAGCTTTTAGTATGATTATCTAATGAATTTCACCTTGTAAAATGGTAGCTTTAAGAATGTTTTTACCTCATACAATTTTATTATAATAAATTCCAATGACTATTTTTAACATTTGATGATATCAAATATCAAGGCTACAGTGACATCTTGTGGCATTTTTTTAACTGTAGGTAAAGAAGCAATTTTCTTGTAGTCCTGTTGCATCATTTTAAGACTATATCCTGATTTTTTCAACAATGATTTTTTTAAATATTTCTTTTAGATACAATTTTTAAAATCCTGTGTTGCATAAACATGAATTTCTACAGAACATTCAGAGGTAGTGATGAATCTGTTTAGACTCCAAAATATTTCCAAATGACATCTAGATAATCTTAGAAGAAATCATCACATGCATATTAATTTGTTAAAAATATAAATTCTCAGGAATATATTTCATTAAAGAATCTTAAGGCACTTTTATAACCATCAGGGGATAAAAAGTTACCAGCCTTTAAAAATAAACGAACAAAACCTTTTTGATTTCTAAGCACAGTGAATTATGGCTAGAGCTGAATTCTTGTCTTTGAATTTTCTTTGCTATCTAAGCCTAACTGCTTAAGGCTGTGTTTTTTGATGGCTTTTTTTTCCTCATGAGTGCGCCTTACATGTATGTGCCAACAAGTACACGTTTTTTTTCAAAAATGAAATCTTGGTGCTGCTCATTTGTATGCAAACTGTGAGCTTACTTTAGACATCTAACACTGAAAAACTTGGTCAATAATCTGAAAATAAACACATTGCGAATCTGTTTCATGTACTTTATTTGACAATGGTACAAATTAAATTTACCAGTATAATAAAAGCTTGTTCTATTCATTTTTTCACTGATACAGAAGAACAAAAAAACAAACAACCAAACCCAACCCAAAACAACTCCTCCCCCCCAACAACAAACCCAATGCTAAGATTTGGCTGAGTTGACAGTTCATTTCACATTTTAAAAGGCAAACAACATCTGTGAGTCTTCACAATTCTAGTCGATACTGCAGAGAACAGAAATTACAGAAGACCAGTAAGTAAATGAAATGCAGTAAACTACCACCAGGAAAGTTGCATTTCTGGAAAGATCATAGACCTCTTTGTATACTACTTATCACTACAGCACAATAATTAAAAGCTACTTTTCACTATTACAACAAAATTAAGCAGACTTTACATTGCCATTTTAAGTTTTTGCCCTTTAAATCTTGCAAAAGTACTGGGAAGACTTCACTGAACAGAAACCAAATCCATTAACACTGACAGACGGGGCAAAAGCATCCTCCGTTCCCCCAAAGAAACCCAAAGACTCACACCCAGAATCAGCCCTGCTGTAAAGAACTTCAACCACTTTTTGTTCAGCTAACTTATTACAAAAAATGGTACAATTATACACCATTTGTGCAGATGCAATTTGTGTACTAGGTGTTAGCTGTTATTGATTGCCCATAGATACCTTTGAACTGATGCTGAGAATCAATTAAAAGCTGATGCAAATGAAACTAAATCTACTTTGCATGCCAGATTTGATTCCTCTCTGTGATCCAGGAAAATCACTGTCTTTTGTTCTTTCCTCCATACCACAAAAAAGTTCTGTAACTGCAATGGAAAAGGTTTGTCCTGTCTATGTTAACACAACGTTTCCAGAACTACAAAGTCCCAATCTAACAAAAGCTGTTAATAATAGCTCTGTTTCTTACTACAGATGAAGCCAGCGAATTCAGAGACTGATAATAGTCCAAGCCCTGTCAAATATCACTGTACTTTTTTTTTTTAATGCTTTACCCATTTGTTGCACATTTTAATTCTGTTGTCATAGCCACCAAAAAACAGAGATGAAAGGAACCAAAAAGTAAATACTCATTTGAAAGAATAGTTAAAAAAAACAGTAGAGCTGTAATATTACAAAATGCACACTCTGTAATAAATGTAGAACAGCTTGCTCTTATTAGGAATTGTAAATAAGACATTTTTAAAAAGTGAGGATTTTCTTGGGCACATTTTTGTAACAATGTACACGCAAAATATCAAAATAAAACTAAGTACTAAAGAGAGTATTAATAAGTAATATCCCATCCATTTCTTCTGGCTGCCTATGTAAGTTTCATACATTCATGTTTCTTACATTTCCAACTGCTGGGTTTTACCTTTCAGCTGCTTGCAGTGTTTCAGCAACTCTAGGCAAATTAATAAGAGGAAAAAAAGCCACATCAGAGATCATTTTCCACTATCTCAGCAGTAGTAGATACTGTAGGCAATGGTTTTAGGACTATCTGAGATTAAGGTGAGGTACTCTTCTGGGTTGCTTTCACAGCAGCTTCAGGAACATCTCAGAATACAGAGTAGCTTATATACAAATTTCAAAGGGGTTTTGTACAGGAGTCTAGAAGCCTGGCCAACAGTTTGTTGTAGCCCTTCTACGGTTTCACTAGGAACTGGGTAGGAAGAGGTGAGGAGAGGAGGGGGAAGGCAAGGAAGCGTCTCAACATATAACTATCAAAAATATGCCTAGACCTCATTTGACTAGATACATATATTTAAACAAAAAAATCAAAACATAAGCACTGAAGGGTAGGAGTGCATTTTTGTCTGCATGTTTCTGAAGAACTGGCCTAATTAACTGTAATAGCTTTTATGATTATTTTATCACAGCTAAACATTAGTATATAATCTTTAAGTTTTCTCAAAACGTACCTTGGAGAACTAGTAAGAAAGGAAAAAAAAAAAACATAAAAAGCCAAATGAAAAAAATTCAGAGGCTACAAATAAGGATGGCCAAGATGCAGTAATTACACCTTCTTCTCTCCTTGAACTCAGTACAATTCACTGACTATTGTTTAACATCTAACCCCTTAAATTCATTGGCTTACATTTTATTTTTGTGATTGGCATAATTAGGAAAACCAAACTGAGCAATCATGATATTTGAATATTTTAAAGGCATGCCATCATAAATATTAACCAGTTTATTTACACAGTAAGATCTCTGTAATAAATGCTCTGCTCGGTGCCACATTCCAGAATAGCCACTGTTAGTGTCTTTTTCTAAATTTCTTATATCAACAGGCTTCACAAACACTCCTGAAGGCTTTCCAGTATGCTTGGCTACCAGAAAATTCATGGCAATATCATCACAATTTTGAGTTTCATCTATTAAGGCGTAAACAGCTTCTGGCTGTCTTTGAAAGTCTTCTAAATACCCACTATGAAAAAATGCTGCACCAATAAGAACCATAGAATACTGATCTCCATTTCCAAATCCAGGGTTCTGCAATTCGAAGCTGCCATAACTGTATACACCTGAAGGAGTAGAAATGTGCTTTCTAGGAACAAATCCCACTATATGCTCTGGAAATTGCTGAAAGGAAAAAGAAATTCAGAAAATCAAAATGAAGCCCACATTGTGCAATGTGTTAAGTATTTTCATAAGACAGATTTATGCTTTTTTTAAATGAGAGGAGCACAAGATTATTGCCAGGAAAGAATGAAATTGTTGGCATGTGGTCCTTTGATCTGCATAAATGATGCAATTAAATACAGTTTTGCAAAACTGACACAATATGCCTCATTCCACATCACGTAGTGCCAAGAAACATCTATCCACAATTTGCAGCTGTATATTTGGCACTCAAAATAAATTTACAGACAATTTCTCTTAGAGAGAAAAAACCCACTCGCTTTTGTTTTGCAGCCTACTATCAATTTAAATAAATTCAGCAGTCAGCAACTTCAGTGTTCATGTACAAGAGTTAAAAATTTGAAAGTTATAGATTATAGGTATAGCTACTATTGAATATTTTTGCAATTTCTACTATTCGATGCTTCAATCCTTCTAAAATTTAACTTTATAGCTAGAAAATCAATGGTAAAACATTATGATATAGTATTACTCTAATTAAAACCATTAATCTCAATTGTAACTCACAAATACTGCCTGCCAAGGTGCAAAACATTACCTGCCAAACAGAAAAGGCAAAAGCAAGGTCATGAGCACTGACTAGTGTATCATCATCCATCATTAAAACAGCTGAAGGGAGAAAAAAAAAACAGAAAAACTTTTAACTTATCAAAAGATTAAATACATGAGCACAGTATGCAGCACAGTATTTGACAAGTTAGCTGTGAAACTTCTATTAAGCTGAATTGCAGAACTGAATAGTAACTCCTTGAAAGTAGATTGAGAAAACATTTAGATTTCAAAGTTAAAGCAAGGTGGCAGCTTTGTGGTAACTGGAAGCAAACCTAGGTTTTAGATTATTTGCCAGGCTGTAACAAAACTCAGCAACCTTTGATCATCCGTAGTACAGCTGGACAGATATGCGTTGGAAAACTTGGAGTGTTTGGCAAAGCAACTTAGAATTCTACTAATCTTGTGTAAAAATAGAACTAAAGAGTTAGATACCATTTTCTTTAGTGTATGAGATTTACACGGGATTCTCAGTATAAAATTTTACCCATCTCCTCACTACTTGCAAGTTCTAAATAAGCAACCTTAATAAATTGCACAGGCAACATTCAATATTATTAACTACAGAAGGAAGAATCTTTGCCTTAAATTTTAGGCAAAAAACTATCAGGAATTAGAAAAGGAAAGCTATTCTTAGACCAGAACTCCACACACATTAAAGCTTCTTAAATTTATAGTCGGAATAAGTCCTATTACAGTAAATAAAACACTTGGGAAGCTGGTTTCTCGTGTCTTCCTAGAAGTTACGGGTTTTGAGTAGCAAGGCATGTTAGGAAGGGGGCAGTAAATGGAATTACCTTTACTAACCATGAGTAAGGTCAGGTCTGTAATGCAACATATGGGTTTTTTTTCCACTTGAAACACACAGGGCTTATTGTTGTGCTTCTCCTGGAAAGAGCTTAGGAAAAATATGTAGATGAATAGCCAAAAGACTGGGGAAAACACTTAAAAAGGATGCATAATTTGAGATAGAAAGCCAGCCAGCTAGGAAGGGAAGTTCCTCTGAAGAGCAGAACATGCTTGAGAACTTAGTCTTAAAATCAATGGATTAAATCAAGTCTTTACCAGATGGCTTAAGTCCAAATTAATGCAGAGACTGAACAAATACATGCACTATGAATTTCAGTTTACACTATAAAGGGAAGAGAGGCTGAACTACCTATGTTTGCCTGACAAAGGAAACGGAGAACAGACACAGTTGCAAAAGCCCATGAACTGCATTTGACATCCCTCTTTTTTTCCTTACTCTTCACTGACAACCTCTAGCCTGCTGGTGGTGGTGGTGTGCATCTGATATCGCAACATAGGTTTCTCCTGTATTATCCACATTCTATTAAGCGGCCCAACAGATCCATGGGTTTATTACATAGTATAACTCAAACCATCTCTCTTTTAGCATTCAGATTTTAAATGTGAAAATAATATTAGTAGTAGCAGTATGAACTGTTGATTACCTTTTGTTTCCAGCTCAGGGAAATTCTGGAGTCTGTTCCTCATGCGATTTACCGTTTGAACTTTAAAGACAACAGGGACAGGGTGAGGCCCCAAGGAATTCCACATTTCCTCTGGTATCTTCTCACCAACGTTGTTCCACACGACGATTACTTTATGTAGATGGGGGATGGCTTGATAATGATTCAAAAGCTTTAGCAGTAAGTCAGTTCTATTGTATGTCTGCATAATAAGAGTAAATGAATCCAAGGCAGACTGACTCTGGGTTTTTGGTTCCCTTCTCAAATTGGGCATTTTGTCATCTTTGATATTGGGAAGCAAAGCCGTTAAAGCGCCCGCCACCAGAAGTAAGACAATAATCACCACAGAAGTGAAGTGTAGCAGGCGGATTCCCATAACTCTTCCCGGAAGCTTACAGAAGTGAAGATACCTTTAAAACAAGTAACAGGAAAGGAAAAGTCATTAATCCCATGTATAGCTATCTCCCTTACTTGAGCAAAACTCCCACAATATTAAGCACATGTTTGTTTAAGTAAATAAATAAGGAGGATTTTAGGACTTGGGCCAATTACTTTCAACTATCAAGCCAGATACTTCTGGTTTGATACTCAGTTTCTATGTTTACTTGCTTTTCACTTTTTTTTGGTTAACTTTGAATTTCCTTGTTCTGTGAAAATGAATCTAGAGTAATTCTTTAACTCTAGATTGTTCCTCATCTCTTATTTTCTCAGTACTGCATTTTTGATTGAACATTTACATACCTCACCAAACCCGTCCAGCTGAAATCAGAAAGAAAATTTGTACAGAGATGCAGTGTTTTCAGCATTGCAGGAGCAGGAGCTCTGCCATAGCTGGGAAACAAAAGGGAGAGAAAGTGCCTCCTGAAGAGCTCTGGCAGGAAGGAGGAAGTTAAATGCTCTTTCTTTTTCTGTTGCTCAGGCACCATACACAGAAGGAACAATCTTTATCACCGATTTGCTGGACATTTTGTCAATAGTTTGTATATCTGCTCAATAATGGTTATTAATGTGGAAAATATGATTCTGATCATACTACCTGAGGCTATTGACACAGGTGGAGCAAAAGAAATATGCCAAATGGAGTCATGTAGGAATGCAACAACATCAGTAACAGCTGGTCTGCTAAATCTAGAACCCAGCAGAAACTGGAAATGTCAGATGCTAGGTGCTATGTATCAGCTAACTGGGGGAGCAGCCTTAGTATAAAGCAGGGGTTTCTGGATCCTGCTGATTCTGGAATTAAACAGGAGCTCTTAAAAAGCGGCTCCTACAAAGGTAGCCCCGACATTCATGCCTCTTAGGTAGCAGTCCCAGTTCTCCAGACATTTATAAACTGTAATCTCGGCAGGATCCAGCAGCCACTGCATTCCATAGTTTGCACCTCAAATGTGTCATCCACACCTGTTCTTCCTCCTTTGCTCGCAAGACTAGCATGAATTGAATAAAAGATGAACATTCTATGCTTAGAATCATAGAATCATAGAATCATTAAGGTTGGAAAAGACCTCTAAGATCATCGAGTCCAACCGTCAACCCAACACCACCATGCCCACTAACCCATGTCCCTAAGCACCTCATCTACCTGTCTTTTAAATCCCTCCAGGGATGGGGACTCAACCACGTCCCTGGGCAGCCTGTTCCAATGTTTAACCACTCTTTCAGTAAAGAAATTTTTCCTCACGTCCAATCTAAACCTCCCCTGGCGCAACTTGAGGCCATTTCCTCTTGTCCTATCGCTTGTTACTTGGGAGAAGAGACCGACACCCACCTCGCTACAACCTCCTTTCAGGTAGTTGTAGAGAGT